TTTAACAAGTCATTGTCAATGTTTGTATTATATATGAACTAATGTCGGATGTACGTATGTGTAAAGTTTAAACTTGATTGGCCCAGGCATGTACGTAAACAGGATGGTCGCCAGTCAGCCATTTTGGATTTGATGGCGACAATTATGTGTGAACTGCATTTTTCAAAAAACAAAATCAGAAAAATAAAACTGAGAGCATGGAGGTCTCATTATGTTCAACATATGTATCAAGTTTGAAGAAAATCTATTCATGCGCAATTGAGATTGGGCTTTGAAATGGTGGAGAAGCGTGATTTTTTTTCCTTAAAATAGCCATCAATCAGCATCTTAAATCACATCATGAAACAAATGCAATTGTCTGATTTCATATCCGATGTATGTGGAAGTTTAAACTTAATCAGCCCATATAAGAGATATGGCTGGATACTCGTCAATCCATAAGATAACTAAGGGGTTGATTAAAGAAACCATGACTCTATTGAACATAGGTCCTACTTCTAATTCTGACCCCCACAAGCTATTGCAGTCAAAGAAGAAGTTACTCAGCAAGCCATGATGTACTTACCTTGTAAAATCTGAGTTTTGGGTCCTTTATGTGCCTGGGGAAGAGTATCATCTGTAAGTAAATAGAATATGGTTTATGCAAGCTTAATGACATATATACCAAGTTTGAACAAAATCCATCTGTAAACAGCCGAGAAATGCTTGATTTTGATGATTTTTTAGCACAAAAAATAACCATTTTTAATAGGATCGTCAAACCAATATATCTGTATATCTATGACATGATGTATAATGAATATTTAAAATTTGAACATAATCAGTAACAGCAAGTCAGAGATATGGCACAAGAACCACATTTATTAAAACAAAATGGCCGCCAGTTGGCCATTTTGAACTTTATCTGAAAACAAAATGTCCTATAATGTCCAACATATATACCAAGTTTGAACAAAATCCATCTGTAAACAGCCGAGAAATGCTTGATTTTGATGATGTTTAGAAAAAAAATGGCCGTCATTCGACCATCTTGAATCAGATCATGAAACAAATTGAAGTGCATATGTATAATATCATGTATGATGTATGTGTGAAGTTTGATTGTGATTGGTCCAGGCATTTCTAAGATACAGGTCCAGACGCACGGATGCACGAACGGACGCATGGACGCACGAATGTTAAAACATAAGTCCTCGTTTTCGGACTGCGTTCAGACGGGGACTAACAAATAAAATGCAGAATAAATAATGTAAATATGCATCTGAAAACTTAATAAATATGGCCACCAGTCGGCCATACATGTAATTAAATCTTTGTAAGCATATGGATGATATTACTAGACATGTATACACACAATGTAAAGAATGCATTTCTGACGAAACTAACCTTCGTGATGCGAGTGTCCATGTGAATGTCCATGTCCATGGCCGTGGTCGCTTTTGTGTTCATGTCCATGCCCACTATCATGGCTATGTCCATGCCCGCTATCATGGCTATGTCCATGTGAATGACCATGACCTATTATAAAACCTCCATTGCTAGCGCTGTGTGCATGGTCATGACCACCGCCTGTAGTTAAGACAAAAATACATTAACATAGATTAAACTGAAACAAGTCAACCAAGCTTGCTTGAGTTTGAGCAAGTTCCATAATTAACAAAGAAGGTCAAGGTTTGCCAAACACTTCCCATATACACTATAATAGGTACAAAACAGAAAGACAAAAATTATATAATGATATCTATATTCCAGAAATATTAAAAAGTAATGTCCAGATATTTAAATATATATTCATAAGAAGACATAATAATAAGACAAGTTGGTGAATACTGACATTTTACTTTTAATATTATATATATTGTGCTTCATTATTTAATTTTTATTGCTGTCAACCAATGAAAACTATTTCTAAGAATGCAATAAATTCATTATTATTATTATAATGTAGGTACTAATTCATTTCTTTGTTGTTTTTTCGATAATTATTGTTGACATCACACTGCTCACATGTTTGTCTAGTGATGATCCCATAGCGAAGAGAGAAACTTACAAAATAAACATTAAGGTCATTCGCAGGTATGTTGACCTATTACGAGATACAAATCATGATTTACAAGAAAATCATGTGACAAATGGTGAAAGTGCATTATTCCAGAATCTCCTAATAATTTGCGACATTCAGAATAATCTTTTATCTCATATTGCCCGCCCTCATAACGCTATGGGAAGTGCGCCCTCACATCTGGGCAATAATTTTCTGTGTCACGCCTGGCCCAGGGTGACCGGCTTTCATCAATCAAAACAAGATGAGTCATTCTAAATTAGTCACTGTGTTTGAGGTCACATCATGGTAAAATTGTAATTACATTTACAGGACTCATTCTTAGACTGGCTAAATTTGTTGTCGCTAAGCGGCTCCCAAATTTTACAACTTACTCCTACCCTTGGACTTTTAACTCAGTAGAGGACATACAGATCATCATTTTGGCTAAGGAATGGTCATCTGTGTACGAGTGCAGAAGGTGCTAATTAAGTACCAAAAATACAAAGCATGAGTGTCATAAGTCAGTAGTGCATATGGCACTCATTACCATACTCAATTCGTGGATGTGATGATTCCGTAGACTTCAAAATGACGGATGACATTCCCAGAGACATGTGTCACAGTTTTCCAGTGACATTATAAAGCAATACTCACCTCCATGAGAGTGACCATGATGAAATGCAAATATACCGACAAGATTGACTAAAAATCCAAGTACAGACACTACAAATAAACGTTCGTGTTTCACTTCGGGTGGTTCAACAAGGCGCTGGAAATGAGAATAATTAATATTAATACAAATGGAATATTAATAACTTATGTATCATAATTATATGGCAGGACACTCACATAGTGCAAGTGTCAGAAAAACTATATTCAATATTTGAGACTACCATACCGTAATACTGTTGTGTAACAATTTTCCTACTGTATCATATATACCAGCAATTCAACATTCTATCATAGTGACACCTTTGGAACTATTTTTTTCAATGTTTTTGTGCCAGGCGACAGTTCTGGACATTGAGTGTCGCTGTTGTCTCTCCTGACTTTTTTTTTTTTTTTGTAAGTGTGAATTGCAAGTGCTGACACATACAATAGTGCATTTTTGCCACAGAAGTCATATTCATGTTTGGGACTACATGACAGGGCTGTGTGGCCATCTCTCTATCAAATGGCAATATTAATGCGCTATCCTGGTGTCAACCAGGCTCGGACGAACACATTCTCCTGCGGACCTAAACCAAGGCTCCCCCAAAGTCGCATTCGTTAGTGAATAAATCTCGGCCAGTGGAATTTGCCTTCCCATTGAGTCTGTGGCACACTCATCCAGGGTAGGGGTCAACCTTTTTAATGTTCAGCCTAAGGTAGGATTTGAACTTGGGTCTACCGATCATGAGTCTGATGCGACAACCACTATGCTACCAGCACCTTTTGGAACTTAACAAAGGTGCCCCTAATGACGCATCCATGAATTTCGGTCAGTAGTGTTGGGAGTCTTATCTTCAGCCAATAGATCGACTTGCTTGTGGATGCATTTGGGTCTGATACAACAACCTCAGTATACTATGTATGAAATTATCACAAAGAATGCCCTCACAGTCGACCTTTGCATCATCAGGTTTCACTTGTACTCATGTAATGCATTCTGTATACAGCACAGTCTGAGTGTAACATAATATTTAGCTAGCCTGCTTTCAACTATACATCTAAATTGTGCATCTAGC